AGGGGCTTGCCGCATCGCGCAGCACGCCTCGTTTTCCCCTAGAGCAGCAGGCCCGCAGGTCCATGACCAGTAAAGTGGCTCGCATGGTTGCAGGAGCGAACAAGCAGTTGCGTACGTCGCCACATACTCAAAGATCCATGCCATGCAGTTAGGTTGGAAATGCATCAATAAACCAAACAACCAAACATTTCGTAGTAAAGTCCCTGCCTTCGGAATCTCCAAACAGGGCCGAAGTCCGGCTTCCCCACGAGAAAACATGTTCCGTGAAAGAGTCGTCAAGAGCCGTGTAATCCGTGAGTAAAAGATCAAACATGCCGAAAATCATGGTAATGCAGCAACATCCATGGCAAGGAAAACTACAACCCACCCTAGGTTTGAGCCGCTCGTGGCGCTTTACAACGGCGTTCGCAAGGTTTAGCCCCGAAGCCACACGGCCGACCGGTGGAGGGCCACTACAGCTCCGGAGTTTCTGCAGCGTCGCCTATGCCCCCCAATTAGAAGCGGCCTGCACCCTCCAAACCCGTGCTTGACAATTGTTACGCGAACCGGCCACGTACAGCCACGAAGGGGAGAGAACCATCCTCCCGAGGCTCCTCGGCGTGTTGTCCTCCTTGCTGGCAGCTTACCGATGGGGAAGGCCACCGTTTCTAGCCGGCGTGGATGTTCGCGATTCGTTTGTGATGTTCCGGAGCCGATCGGCGCTGCACTGTGGCGGCGCGGCCATCCCCGGATGCCGCAGCAAGAAGACGCACCGGGTCATTCCTCTCTTCAACACCCTGGTGTTTGGCTCGGCTTCGTGCCTGGCTTGGACGCTCGTCCGCCGCGGTGTCCCTCGCAGACCTTCGAAGACAGACGTCGTGGCTTTGCGCGCCACGAGAAAGCATTCTTACTCATGTACAGTTTTGCCTTGAAAGCTCTGCCGCTGTCACTGCCTGGTGAAACTCACCAGAACGGGCTCTCGAAAACACAGTTTTGAACACGGCAAGAGGAGACAAACTTCACAAATGCCTTACGGACATGTCCGTGCCACAGAACGCGCTCAACCCGAAATTTTTGCGCGCTTGTTGCTTGTGGCCCTTCGCAAGCAGAGACGCCCGGTTTAAATGGGCCGCAGCGAACCCCAGGGCCACCGGGTCGCAAGTGTAAATGCTGCTTCCCCGACGTTGGGGAGGCACAGGAAGGCACTGTCAGGGTCTTCCGGGTCCTTTTTTCCAAGTCCTCGAGTTCAGACTGAAATTCGAACGGCAGCTCCTGCTGTACACACCTATCAAGCAACAGCGCCGCAGCATCTTGGTTGATTCATTGCCATTGTTGAGGTCGGGCGTGTGTCCCGTTTGAGCGAGCTAGCAAACGGAGCGACCCTACGACCACAGCTTGAAAGCATACGTTGTGTGCGTGCACATTCAAATGGGGGTTGCTGGGGGGGCGGTTTACGATGGTCGTGCACAACATGCTTGCATTGTTGCATTGACAATCGTTAGCGTGGATGGTGGGTTGAAGGTGAGTTTTGTCCCGTGGCCATTTTGGTTTTACGGGCGACACCCGATTTTTGCCCGCCCACCCGCCCCTGGGTGTCTTTTGCCCGTTTGGGTTTCTCAAGAGGGGGCAATCCCGAGCGAACAAACGGAGCGACCCTACGACCAACAGCTTGAAAAACATCCGTTGTTGTGTGCGTGCACATTTAAATGGTGGCTGCTCGGGGAGCGGTTTACGATTGTCGGGGTGCAAAGCTACATCGCTGAGGCCAGCAGCTTCGGGGCTCGATGCCAGACGTTTTGCTCACATGGAGTAGTCGCGAGACAGTCTGCGTTCAAGACGCCAGACGAGTTGCGCATCAGATTTGCCAGGTGATGTACGTCGTTCGATTTCCCGCAAGTCGGAAAGTTCAAAGCCCGACGAAGGCGGCCCGCGCCTGTTTGTTCCAGACAGCTCTGAGCGTATGGTGGATGCTGCTAGATGTGGGGCTTGCAATGCAGCCTTTGCGTCGTGAAATGCCGAAGGGTTCGCATAGCATATGCGTATTGGAAGACGTGTAAGATGCTTCGCGAGACTTCTTTTCCAAAAGCGCGTGAAAGAAGATCGAATTTGAAAAGGGCCGGAGCTGTCAACCGTGGAGCGCAACACAGCCGACATTCCTGAGGTGAGCTTCGACAGTCGATTGCCAGGCGCTCTCAGTACCCGGGCCCAGACAGCGAAGGCTCGCATGGTTGTGTCGCATAACTGTGTGCATGTGACAGGTGCAGAAGTTGCAAGACGTTGTGCGAAACTGGCGTCGGGAGTCAGATTTGCCAGGTGGTGTACGTCGTTCGATTGCCCGCAAGTCGGAAAGTTCAAGGCCCGACGAAGGTGGCTTGCACTTCCTGCTGCGGCGGCTTGTTCCGCAGGGCTGATGTGCCGTGCACTGAGGTGAGCTTCGACAGTCGATTGCCAGACGCTCTCAGTACCAGGGCCGCGATGACGAAGGCCATCGAAACTTGTTGGTGGCATGTTTGTGCGCATGTGCAAACGTGGCAAAAGTTGAAAGACCGTGTGCATCCAAGACTTCAGGTGCTGCCAGGGGATGGCGGGCATCAGATTGAACCGGTGATGTATCTCCTTCGCTTTCCGCAACGCTCAAAGCTTCCAAACGAACTGACAGCCCCGAGAAATGAGGGTAGCTTTTTTCTCGGATCGCCCGGAGCTCCTTTGCGCAATTCAGGCAGGGCAGCACTTCCACTCTGGTTAGCAGAGACTTGGGCTAAGTCACGCGGTCAAGATGACATGGCTGGCAACAGCGTTCAATGATCAGCAAGGCTGTTTCCATGGTGAGATATGCATGCTACTCATGATGGTGAGTTGCATCGGTGGCGACGTATCACGTAGTAAAACGATTGCAGAGAGATTTTGCTGCTGGCTGCTTTGCCGCATCTCGGAGGTGAGCTTCGACATTCGATTGCCAGGCGCTCCCAGTACCAGGGCCACGACGACGAAGGCTGTGCACATATTATGACATATGCAGAAGTTGCAAGACGGTTTGTGTCGGATTTGCTAGGTGATGTGCGCCGTTCAGTTGCCCGCAAGTTGGAAAGTTCATTGCCTGACGAAGGCGGCCTGCGCCTGTTTGTTCCAGACTGCTTTGTGCGTATTGTGTGGTGGGCACTGTTCTTTGTATTATGTTGTGGTTGTGACAGTCGAGGCCGGAAGGGGGCACCTCGTGGACCCTTGCCTTGAACTTGCCGACAGAAGTGACTAACATTCATGCCGTTCGCATCCGTTCGCTCTGCAGAATTGCCCGAGTCAGAACCAGTGGGCCGCAGCGATTGGCGGGTGCGGGTGACTTCAGTTGTAATCTGGTGCACGAAAGCCTAGAATCCCAGAAGATTGAGAAGACCGGGCAGATCACCCACCCCTTCTGCAGAAAACCACAGATGATTGCGGGACTCTGGGTGCAAAGCCGTGGCAGTCGCAGGCAAACAAGGCAGGCCTCTTCGACGTCTTCACGCGAATTGCCACAGCTTTCCCACACCACAAGCCGCGGCAACCATTTGCCACGCAAGTCTGAGGCAACGGTCATGAGCCGAAGCCCTTGCCGTTTGCCGGGTCCTGCCCTCCTTGCAAGACATTGCAAGACAGGGTGTGCCTCTGCTTTCACAGCACGTCACATTTCGCGAAACAAGAAGCCAGAAGCCGAGGCTCCTTATGACTGCACGAACACATTCTGATGTGGCTGCCGGTCCAATGCTCGTTCGGCAGAAGCCGAACAGAATGACGGTGGACGGTCTAATGACGGTGGACAGTCCCGAACAACATTTCTTGGTGGTTGTGTTCGGGAAGCTCATTTTTGGGCTACCGCTGCCACTCCTGCCGCTGCTGCCCCTGCTGGTGCTGCTGCAGCTGCCTGTGTTTTGTCCTTCCACACGACCGCGTGCTGGAGGGCAGGTTCACCGAGAGCTAGAATCTAGAATCGACCTACAACGCTCCACAATGCCCGTCAGTCGCATGGGTTGCATTTATTTGCTTCCAACACTGTTGTCTGCCAGATCTGCCAGGTGATGTTCGCGTTTCGATTGGCCGCAAGTCAGAAAGTTCGAGGCAAAACGAAGGCGGCCTGTTTGGCTGGCTGTGCTGGAGCTGTGTTGCTGTGACGGATATATGCCTGGCATCACTGTAGAATACACAGGGCAAGGCTCTCCGGCCAGTTTGGATTCCTTGCTCTATGCGGGTCAGGTGATGTGCACACTTCCATCGCTCGGCATTCGCAGCTTCATGCATGCATCGGGGGACTCGAGTATCAGATAGTACTGGTATCGAGATGTTTGGCTTGACCTTTTCGTCCAGGCCATGCCCACCGTGCCAGCCGGTATGGAGACGACGGAAGACCTGTGCTCATTCCCGGCCCGGCCTTGTCCGGAAATCCTGACCGTTCACGTTCCGAGGTGCGACTGGATTCTCTCCTTCGGCCAGGAGGTCAGACTATGGCCTGGGCGATGCAGGCACGGACGTGGCTGTCAAAGTTCTTGTCGGTCTCGACACGCATCAGAGAACGAAATAAACGGACAAGAAGACCTGAACACTACAGCATCGTTTGACCTTGACCGTTGGATTCGCACTGGGGAATGGCGTGTTTATGCCGAACCGTGTCTGTTGTTGTGTGTTCCTGCGTATCTCGCCATTATCTATACATGGACGCTCAGCAGATGCAACCGGTATGTCAACTTGCATCACCAATATTTGCTCTTTTATTTCTAGTGGTTTCGATACACTTCGCCTGGAACGTGTCCTGCTGGCGTGCTTCCATCCGAAGTGGTTCATGGATGTGAGAAGCTAAAATTTAAGGCATGGTTCTGTTTCTCGTTCCATTGCGCTCGACTTCATTCGGGTTCATCCAAGTGCATCCGTCGGCTTCGTGACGTTGGCAGTCGCGATTGACATGGACTTTTGCCGCAATGTTTCACCTTGCGGCCATGAGGTCTCATAGCGACGGTCGGGAAGTTTTGAAGTGCATTTCCATGTGCCGCATTTCTGTCCCGACAATGATTCGCCACAAGATGCCACAGGGCCACAAGTCTAAGAGGAGAAGTCTACAATCGGGTTTGATCAAGATTGGGCTTGCTATCAACTCAGTGAGCTTGTCTCGCTTCTGCTTGTGTCCATCATTGTCTGCTGCTGCATGTGTGTACAACTCTCTTACCAACAGATAAGTCTTTGCATTTTACAGTTTCAGCAGGGGGTGCCAGGGGATCGCAGAAGGCTGGCACCAACGAAGACCTGTCTGCTTTCCGGTGATATCGACTTGGGACGCCAAGTTGATGTACCCGCAATGTACAGAGTGAAGCTGTTTCGGTTTGCGAGTGCTGCAAGTGGATATGGCACGGGGCTAAGCCCACAACCCCAACAAACTGCCTAGTGGCCTAGTGGCTATATGTCTTCACCTCTGTAAGTAGGGATTTCATGAAAGAACGAATCAATCAGAGGGAGGATTGCACGAGTGTGTCTCTAGACGGTTGTTCGTTCAACGTGCCGTCTACAGTAGGATTGCCTACTGCATTGAACCCTGATCGGTTCGAACCCTGTACGGTTCGAATTGATTGAGCCCTGATTCGCTACTTGTTGCTGAACCCTGATCGGTTCACCTGAGGGATATCTGTGCTCGATAAGCACAAACATGATCCTGATCGATTAGATGCCAAGCTGGAATCCTTTGTTTTGCTCAGAAAGAGAGCCTCGCAGATGTTCAGCCTTGAGTCCGTCGGGCCCCACCAGGAACAGAAGCTAGAAGAGCTCAAGCATCCTCCCACCGATCTCTGCTGTGGAGAAGTCATGAGCAATTGGTATTCCAAAAGTTGGGATGAGAAAAATGAGACCAATGATAGCAGCTGGACCAATCAAAATTGGTCTTCCGAAAATTGGCAAAGCTGGTCCAGCGGCGGATCATCGTCCTGGCCCAAAACGGCACGACCGTCCTCGTTGCCTGTTTCAGCTACACCTACCAGTCCGAAACCAGCTCTTCCATGTTCTTTTCATACTGACGAGAAATTGGGGGTCGTCAGCCAGTAGGCAATGTTCCGAGGAAGTTCAGCCTACAGAGTGGAGCCGCAGGCAAAGCTTAGCTGGCCGTCCGATAGAGGATCCTCGTCTTGGGTGCATCGTTTTTTTGAGTGAGGGTTTTCAGGGTTTGGGGGACCCCACTTCGCCAGGCCCTAACCACATGACATGCACCCCCACCATGCACCCCCACCACCCCCAGTTTCACCTGGAGATACGGGATAGGCACAGAAGTTCCGACTTCGGAGTGCGTCGCGCGAAAGTCGTCAGGCGTTTCCCACCACATCGAGGTGCTGAAATAGGGTCCGGAAGTTTTTTCCCCAGCGGGTCGCTATGGTTCACGATATGAGGAGTTGAAGCTTGCGCAATTTCTGGAGAATTCTTCGGTACTGCCGCATGGACGTAAGGTAGTGTTGGGGACGCGACAATTGGGGATCCCAGAGAAACACCAACACATGCTGCATCAGATTTGGGAGATCTGTCATGTTATCCAAAACCTTTTCCGGTTGATCCGCAGCTTGGAACGCAATTTGCCTGCTTTCCGGCCTTGAGCGAAGGGCCCCGTCATCGTACTTTGTATCGTCATGACTGATTTTGCTCGTGGCATTGAGAGTTTGTGACTGGAAAAGCGTCCGTGCTTCTAAATCGCAAGGGAAGTGGATCTGCCGGAATACAGGCCGACGCGCTTCTCGCCGCAGCACCCGGCTATCCGAAGGCACGTGTTCGAGCTTGGAGATTGAGTCCATACTCAGTCTAACGAAGGTTCTGAGCAGCGAATGTTGTCCCAGCCGCCGCGGCTCCCTCGGCCAACCCTTTGGCATCACTAACGGCTGATACGGCAAGCTTGCGAATGCCTTGAGGTTGCCAGACAAGATACTCTCATGTCGTTTGTGAATTGGCTTCCATGTGTCGCTGAGGGTGTCACCGGACTCCACGGAGACAGAGCTTTTCACTGGTCATGGTCAACACGGCTTTCAACGAAAATCGGAGGTTTTCTCGCGTACGAGTTGACAGAAATGAGGCCTGGCTCTGCATGGCTCTGCCAGGTCCGTCATCCGGAGCGACCCACCGAACTGACACTCGTCCTTGATGCAGACAACATCGACGAGGACTGCCGTGCCGTAGTCGAAGATGTTGCTATGTTGCCCTCAAGGCGCTGTTCAAGCATGACATGCACGCACCCGTCTCTCGTGCTGCAGATGAAGTCCATCGTCTGGAAATTCACAGAGCAAGGGGCGTGCGTGAAGGCCCTCAACAAGCACTGCCCCAAGGCTTGGGTGTGTCTGAGTTGTCAGCTCTTGCCATGAGATGCAGCATGCAGGCTACGCCAGAAGACATTCGGGCCGGTGATATCTTGATGTTCGTCAATGAAGAGTTTGTCTTGGACAAGGAAAAGTGTGGTCCTCAGGCCTTTCCACCCGAATCTGCTTCTGTTGCTTGTGCCTTTCGACACTATCTCCAAGGAAGATCACCCAGCGAATCTGGAAAGATGAGAGCCTCGGCTTAGTCAAATATGCGTGTCATTGAATCGAGCGTTTGCGCGCATGCTGTCATAAACTTCTTGGGCAGGTGTAGTTCTCGGGTTTATGGCTTGCTTCTGCATTGCACAGTTCAATGGTCCGGTGAAGAAAGTAAGAAGAGGTGTTGGCAGCGCAGTGTGGAACAGTGATCATCATCTTGCCCGGGCAGGCATGCCAGGACAACCGCACGGGCGTAGTTTGCAGATGATGTCAGCACAGGTTTTCAAACCGAGCTGAACGAAGGGAACACGACAAGTACATGCAGCAGCATGACCGTCGAACAACGGGTTTGGAGCGGCCCGATGAAGTATTTGCACGGTGGCGTTGGCGAGACTTCTGGGCAGTGCTGCTTCGGGATATAGGGTGCTTGCGGAGGTATTGCAATTATGTGGTTTTGCTTGGCTTCCGATAGAAATGTGACGGATGTTCCGTGTGCCGTGAAGGGCGACTTCCTGGAAGGTCAGGTTAGCAAGCCTTGTCGATGTTGCTATCTGAGCGACGACAACAGCCACCGTTTTTCCAAATTTTCGGGCCCTGTCGACCTTAAGCTGCGTCGCCTCTGCAAGCACCGCTCTGGTTTTCCATTATCTAGCGGGGTCATCGACAGCGTGCTTTTTCGTCTTGCTGCTGCAAATGACACTACCAGAAACTTTGAGAGTTGCTGCACGCAGCTGCGCCTCACACGCAGCTTCAGAATAGCACAATGCAGACATTAAAGCTGAAACGCCCAGCTGCAGGCTTTTCATTCCATCTTTCTCGATGTGTGCGAGACAGACTTCAGCACTTGCGGGTCGCCTAAACTGAGGCAGCTGGAAAATCAGTTCCTCACTCTGCGCTTGAGCCCCAGATGCGATGGCATGCCAACGGCACACGGTGGTTCGTGAACCTATCCCCTTAGGAATGCCGTTGAGTCAAGATTTTGAAGCTGCTCGAGATCCTAGTCCTGTTGTGCCGCCTCAGGTTTCCGGGCGTGGGGATGAAGGTGAAGCAGACTGCTTGGTCGTTAGCAATTCCGGGAACTGGCCTCCGGCACTGCAGTTCACACAGCAGTGACAGTGAATCAAGCGACCTGGATGGTTGATGCATCTTGTTTGGAGTGAGGGGTTCCGTTGGTGTTTGTTCGGATGACTGCGTAAAGCGAATGTAGGGTGACGAAGTGTCAAACGAGGGAAGCAGCAACATCTACGCCAATAACGGCGGGCTGATCAGGGTTTCAAGTTCGAGTTTAGATGCGACCTGGTTGTGCAGACCAAACAGATTCTGCGAGTTTGCTTGCCATGATTTTCTGCTCCTGCTGCTGTGCATGTGTGCACGTTCATGGCTTTCTTGAACGTCGAGTGCAGAACAGCTCCATCACGAAGTGATCCAGCTGATGCACTGCTTTGCTTCAGAACGCCTCCACATTTGAGCCGCCACTGATTGTCTCTGAGCAAGACGATCGTGGTTGAATTCGGATATGCATACGGCATCTTGAAGAGGTGTCTAGCACAAAACATGCACGACTCCAGAACTCCAACCTGAAGGCGCTCGGAAATTCATCGCCGGAGCAAACAGTGTAGCACGTCAAATGATTGCAATGTGGGCTGTGCAACTGAACTGTGCTTGACGCTGTTCCTTCCCAAAGTTTCAAATTCATGCAAGCTGTGCAAAGGCAGAAGCTCAGTGGAGAGATCTCCCTTGTTTTGAAGCGGGTGCTATCGAGGCCTCGGAGGATTGCTTGTGACAGCTGCTGCACGCTGCAGCCATGCCGGTGCACACTGACTGATTTGGCGTTGCCTCTGTGCAAGAAGCACTGATCTGGCCTGCCATGGTGGAAACACCTCCGCCATGAAACTAATTGCTTCATTTGGAGTCAGGTTCCTTGTGCTTTCGTTGTGATCGCTGCATGAGCTCGCGAAATGACAGGACGTTCTTGCCATGTGCTGTGGTGAAGACATCAGCAGGTAGGGTGGAAAGCTCATGAAAGCTCCTGCACAGACCGTGGCCGTTGCGACAAATGCACAATGCTTCGAGACGCACGCAATCACAAAAACCTGCAGCAACTGCGCCTCTGCAGAACATCGGATAGAATCGGATAGAAGCCTTGTGTGTAATGTGACGTGGGCTCAGGAGTCCGTTCTTACCGATGGGATGTCATTCGGTGCACCTGGGGCAGAGCATCCGGAGAGCCAGTTGGAGCGTTCGGTGGATGAGTCCGACTCGTGCGAGTATTTGTTGTCTCAGTTCTCTCCCATGTGCGAACTTGGAGCTGGCTCCTTTGGGGTAGTGCAGAAGTGCGTGAATTCCACAAATGGCGGAGTTTACGCCATGAAGACTATTGAGAAGGCCCGCGTCATAGAGAAGGACATGGGGGAGCAAGTGAAGCGGGAGGTGCTGACACAATTGAAGGTCAAGCACAAGAATCTTGTCCGACTGCATTACTACTTCGAAGATGCGGCGAGGATTTACTGCCTTTTGGAGTTTGCAGACCAAGGTCAGCTCTTTGCATATCTAAAGGCCGAGAAACGCCCGCTTCCGGAGCCGAGAGCTGCGTCGTTCTTCTTCGACACCGCCAGAGGCATCGACTACCTGCATTCCCTTCGCGTTGCACACAGGGATCTGAAGCCTGCTCCCGGGCTGCCAAAGAACCCTCCTAGTCCATCCTAACCCATCCTAATCCTCTTTTTCATTCGTTTTTCTTTCCACTACTTGATGCCAATCCCAGGAAAACGTTCTTCTTTTTGGTGACGAGCTGCTCGCAAAAGTGGGCGATTTCGGATGGTGCGTCGAGCTCACGGATGGCCCAAGGCTTACTTTTTGTGGGACATTGGAGTACGTTTCGCCAGAGATGCTATGCGGTGAACCGCATGACGAAGCTGTCGACCTGTGGGCTCTCGGGGTACTTCTGTACGAGATGCTCCTGTCCCACGCGCCTTTCCTTGGATCCAAGAAAGATTTGATGGACAAAATCTGTGATGTGGATTTCCACATACCCAAGGGATCCATGTCCCCGGGTCCAGAAGAACTCATCCGTGGCCTGCTTGTACGATCTGGATCATGCCGGATGCCGCTGAAACGGATACTAGAGCATGAGTGGTATTTGTCTGTTTGTTATGCACAGGATGCGCTGGCTGCACGGACGGAACTGGCAGTAGGTGATCAGCCACGGCCGAAAGCTCGCAGTCGGAAAATCCGTATCAGTACCTCTCTTCACAGGCATCGGGGTAGACATGTGCAAGAGAACTAGCCAGCCCGCAAATGACGAGACCCGGAACCCTCGGTGGAAACCGACAACCTCATTTGGAAGGAAGATTTTCGTGAGGGCAGGTTGGATTTGTCGATGTGAGATAGATGCCTTTCTCATTGAGTGTGCTGCTGCGTCATGGCACAGCATCCCAAACGCCGGCAGCATGAATTGTCAAGCTTGAGTCAGTGTCGGAGCAGTTGCTGGAATCTGCAGCAGCAGCAGTCGGCTTGCGATTGTTGTTCGGACGGCTACTCAACCTGCACAACATTCACACAGCAGCACAACCAGTTATCCGAGCGTGCTGCAGCGACTTGCATCCGCAAGTCTTTCCCCATGGCGAACAAGTCTTGACCCCAGCAAAAGTTTTTCGTTTGATCAGCCGCAAGCTTGCTGCACATCTTGCTTCTTATGCTTCTTCAGATCAAGCTTTCAGAGGTTTTCAGCGGTCCTCACCGCGAAGCAGGAACGGCAAGCTGGTGTAAGCAGTGCGAATATTTGGTATACCAGCGGCAACAGCCTCCTGGATTCAAATTTGATTGCATGCACGAACGTTCAAGGGCCAAACGCTGTGTGAAAAGCCGCGGGTGAGGTGGTAAAGATCTGTGGAAGCTCAAGGCCAATAACCCTGAGCTCTTTGCGAAACAGGCCGATCCTAAATATTCTCTGCTGTACCGACTGCACGAACACTGAGTCTCAGGGTGCTGGAGATGCAGTGCCACCCGGCTTCGAAGAAACGGACAAGGCCGGTTGGTATTACAACCGAGCAGAGACTTGCCAGCACGAGAGCGGTGAAAGAGCGTAGCGGCATAGCGGAAATGCCGTGTTTGGTGAAGCTGAGGACAAAATCTTCTGGGTGCGGAGCACGAGGCAGCTGCTGTGGTTTGATGAAGAAAGCGGTGAACACAAGGACCTACACCGCAATCAGTTTATGGGGACAGCTGTAGAAAGCCGACGAGCGCCTGGGAGGAGCTCTACGAAGGCCAAAGCCTTCCGCTCGCCTTCGGAGGCGGAGCGGCCACCAGCTCCGAGGCCGGTCGAAAAGGAGACTTCTCCTCTGCATTGCCGTCTGCACCGCAGATTTCAGATTCGGAGTCCTCTCTCACCTCGGAGTGTGCGTGTGTGTGTGTGTGTGCTGGCCCGGCACTCTGAGAGTCTCGACGGAGAGGCGAGCTCCGGAGCGAAGCCGGGAGCGAAGCCGCCGAAGACCGTGGTGATTCCCGATCTGCACCGCGTGGCCTCCGCCTTGCGCCTCACACGCAGTACCGACCAGAAGTTGATTTGAGCGGGGGTGTCACAAGTCAAAATCGTGAGCGAGCCAAGGAAGACGGAGCTGTCGCACGTCGACAGACCTGCAGCCATGCTGGGCGTCTTTGGAGGCGGTGAGATGACAGCCAGAGCATTCCCGGAGAAATTAGTGCCAGCCTCAGCCCTCCGTCGACGCACCGTTTCTGCTTTTTGCTTCCGAAGCTCGAAAGGTCAAGCGCCTGGGTGCTTCACGGAGTTGCTGGTCCGAAGAGGATCTGCGAAGGGCAGTGCAGAAAGTTCTCCAAGAAGCTGGCGGCGGTCCGGCGTTGCTTGGCGAAAGTCACTGCCGTTGGCCACAGGGGATGATGGCCTGTGCTCAGGTCGGTGGTTGTCATCATGGGTTGCAGGGCCACTGCCGTTGCAACGGACGGAGCTTCATTCCGGGTGACTGTGCGGCCGCTGCAGGCAGACGTCCAGACAGCGAAGCGTAGCCGCGTAGCGCATAGCCCTGTGCAAAGTGGCAGCTCGAAGCTCAGGGCTCCCTCGGTTTGCTTCCTGCGCCGACGTTGATGGCTTCTTCTGCTACATCCTCCAACACGAGCCTGTCTTTGTAACCCGGGGGCAGTATGCCTGCTGGTGGATAGGACGACCAAGAGCATCCTGCAAGGAAAGATGAGCACTGCTTATTTGCGGCTTGCAGTGTGGGCGGCGGGTGTGGACCTTACCTTTGCACTTCCTTTCCAATTGTGTTACGGGATAAAAGCACCTACGTGGGTGTGTGGAAGTTTGGCTTCGTGGAATGTGCATCTGTCAAGTCAATGTGGCCTACGGAAACTTGGGTTGAGGAACGAGCTGAAACTCGAAGTGTGCACCGTTGAAATCTCGACAGGAGCTCCCAGAAAATGCGTTTTCGGGTCGTCTTCGTATCCATAAAGGGTATCAGAAACGCTTGTTTCTCGTTCCGTTTCCAATTACATGTCACTCAGATATCTATTTCTCGCTACAGTAAATTTTGATCATGAAGTTTTCAGAGGTGGGAATATGACAGGTCGAGGAACACTGCGATGGAGGAATCGGAAAGCGTTGGTTCTCTCGGAGTCAGACCGTGACTGTGAACGAAGTTTTAGAGGATGCAAGACCTGCACTTGTTCTTTTCATGGCTGCATATGCAAGCTCAGAGTATGTCAGAGGCCTATTGGTCTAGACTCCTTGACTGCCTCAAAATTTCAGAGAGTCTCTAAGCCTTCGAGTTGCGGGATGGGCATCAGGATACAACCAGCGTCAAATTTGTAGTATACTAGTAGCATAGTATAGCATAGTATAGTATAGTATAGTGTAGCGCAGTGTAGAATAGTGTAGTATAGTGTGGTATAGTATAGTATGAAAAGGTGTAGTACGGATCTTTATATTACGTTTTGTTATTCTTAGCTATACAATACTATGTCGCATTACATTACATCACACTATACAATATTACGTCCAATCACTACGTTGTATCTAGTTAGATTAGAGTAGACTGGCTGTATTATGTTATGGCATATTTCATTCTAAGTTTCTATACACGCAGATATGTGCACACGAAGGTACATGAACATGTGTAAGGTATGTATATGCATACATATGTTCGTACAGCCAAAGCTGGAGTGCCAGAACCTGTTTTGTAACTTGCCAAATTTGGACAGACAGGTGTCCTGTGTGTTCCTATGCATCTACACATGCAGAAATTTAGAGGTATCTTCACACATACACATTACATGCATGCCTGCATGCATAGCCCGACCAGCAACAAATCTTCACTCATCACAGGCATACAAATACGGCTACATGTTCAGATGTATGTAATGATATGTAGTTGGACCTTGAATGCAGCTATATGCCTTTACATGTGTTTTGTCGATGCAGATGAGCATGCATATACGTTCGATCTTTTCCGCGCGTCTGTACATAGACTTGGCTGAAATGTTGTGTGTACGTATGAAGTATTTTCTCTGTATGCACGAATTCATGTTCTCCTTCGGTATACTTTGCATGGGTATCTGCTCTTTCTGTATAATGATACATATGAATATTTGGAGCACATGTATGTGTGCGTGTGCACGCATGTTCTGCATGTATATCCAAAAATGCATCCCAACCTGTAGTAGTTTCTAGTTGAGTCTATTCTTGTTTCATGTTCACGTTTGTTTCGATGTTGAAATTCCCTTGACGCAGTACGTACCATCATCTGTATATTGTACACTGCATGTTCAATTTTACGAGCGTGTAGCATCTCGAGCAGGTCCAAGTCTGGGCTCTTGACCGAGGAGGCCTTCGAGTCCTCCTTGGCATCACAGCTTGCGAAGGGCTGGGCACGGACAGGTCCGAGGGAAACTCGTGTAGAAAATTGTCCCGGTGTTTGTATGCTTCAGACAGTGTTCAGAAGCTTCGTGTTCGTCGTTCTCCATCTGAAAGGTTCCATCACGCTTCTGCAGTCGGCCAGACAATCGGGGATCCTGGAGCCGTTAGCAGTTGTTTGCGCACGCCTTGTGCCAACAGAGGGTGCGCGAGTCGCTCAGCATTCTCGTGGCCAAGCCTTTCCATCATGGCACAATGCGCAGAGGTGTCAAACAGGCTGCATGTTATCCCAAGACTGTTTTCTGCATCTTTCAGGTCAAGCGAAGCACCTGCGAAGCGCTTGAAGGCTTGGGATCGCTTGGAGCATCTTGGAGCCTGCGGTGCCTGCGTTTGCTCCTTTCCAGCTAGAGCCTCGCGCAGACGGCCTCAACAAGCCCTATTTTCACCGCGGGCACCACGGGCACATCAGGACAAAACGGTGGCAAAGCTGACCAGGCATCCGACATGCTGAGGATTCTTGCTGTTTGCTTTCTTCATGTGTGCCAGCGTGCTTGCGCAGGTGCGGCTGCGACAAATCCTGCTCAGAGTAGCCGCTGCTGGCCCACCTGTCACAGATCCTGTTCGGCGGAAGCAGGTGCAGCTTGTGCTATCAAAGCTGAGTTCAGCTGACGAATTGGAGGTGAAGCGTTCTCAAGAACAGGCAGAAGCTGATATGCTCCACATCTTGCAAAGCCTCGAGGCAGACAGCATGAAGAGCTTTCAGAGACTGAGGCTACGTTATTTTTGTCCTGCCTTTTTTTTGTAGTGAAGATTCGGTTTTTCCGTCTAAGGAAAGTGTGCCGCGAGAGATCTGAATGCCAATCAGCGCTCAAGGGAGGGGAACTCGCTGGAGACATGGGCTGGCTCGATCGCGTGAAGGGTGTCGGCATCCAGCAAGACCGCGCCAAGCAAGGCGAGGCTTGATCCGAGCGATCCCCCGAGGGCCAGGGCGGCCAGGGCCCCCTGTATGCTAGGCGTGCGGCCGCAAGTTCCAGCAGCAGTGTTGAAAGCATCTTGGCTGTCACTGCTTCCATGCGGGCTGTGGTGTATTCGAGAAGCTCAGGCTGCCTTTGAGCTTGCGGTCGGCGAGGCTCGAGCTGTTCTCCTGTCTCTGTGACCATAAGTATCATGACACTTTCAGTTGCTGAGTTTCGGAATCTTGGGCGCAATGATCTCCACGCACTGGCCAGGTCCACGATTTGGTCACAACAGAAGTTGGTGTGCATCTTCTGCAACGCACTGCCTAGTGACCATCCCGAAAGACGTTGGAACGATGTGAGGCATATCCATGTACATAAGGGCAGTAGCGTCACCCCGAGTGCGGAAAGCCTACAACATCCATCAAAAGCATTGCGCTAACGATTGCCGGTTCCTGGCAGAGACGCTCTACTGACCGCCTCGGCTTTGAGATGCATGCGGCTGCATTCTCGAGCTCTTAGTGTATGTGCTGCTTCAGATCAGCGAAGAATGCAAGGTCGGTTGCAGCTCGGTTTCACGTTTCGCAGCGTGCAGTGTAAATATGTGACCTAAAAGACCGAATCTGGTGCCGGTGAAGTTTGCAATCTCGCAGCAGTTCACTCCTGGTTAGCAGCACAACTTTTCATGCGATTCTTGCGCTTCTGACCTGTTTGCGCTCTGTTTGCGTCAAGCGCGCTTCCAGAGTCACGTGGAAACCACAAGTGATTTCAATCTTGATTTCGTATGATTTTGTACAGTAGTCTGAGCCACTTGTAGCTCATGCTTGATCCAGAGGCTCTGTGTCATCGCACAATATCGCGCATGCTTTGCGCATGAGTGGCCTTTCGGGAAGCTTGGGGCTTGCTCGCAAAATTCAACACGGAGCCGTGCACCGATTCTTGGATGCAGATGTGCAGCAACATGCGGGTTGCACATAGCGAGAGGACATGTGTGTGCGCCGCGTGTCTCATCGTGTCTGCGCATCTCTGTGTGGTCCTGAGTGTAACACCAAGGACACTTATGATGCTTTCGTGAATGACTTGCCTCCCGAGGCTGCTGGATTATGCCTGTGCTGCTCCTGCTCCTGGTACTACTGCTTTTGCTGCTACTACACTGCGAGGTCGCCGGGTTGATCCAACCCCCCGAGACTTCTGGCTTGCTCGTCGCACGGCACTCAGATCCGCTTGCTCACTGCGCGAATTTGAGCAGGGCTTCCAATGATCTCCCTTGCATCTCTCCAAAGAGCCGAGTTGCCTGCGCCGAGGTTCTCCTTTGGCCTGAGCAGCTGCTGCCCGTTTCATGTCCTTCGGAACCCACTGCCGCCACCTCAGCGACTCAGCGGTCTCCCGGCTCTCATGCACTGCTCTTAGGAGGAGCTCCTTGCATGGGAGGACGCAGAGTGCCAGAGCGATCAGGCGCGCCCGAGATATCGGTAGGTCCGTAGGCTCGTCGCGTGCAGAATGTGCAGGATGTCAAGCCTTCTGAAGAAGTACCTGGCATCCAACGCATGCAATCTGCTCAGCCAGATGCTGAGAAGGCAGACTGGCGAGATCTGCGCGGTTGGAATTTGTCAAAGTGTTCTCGCTTTTCACCTGCGAGTATGGACCTGCTGGCCGCTGCTGCCCTGCTTGAAGGGAGCCAGCAGTCCGGAAGTTTCAAAGGAACCCTCTGGCTCACCTTCAAGAGGTGGCGTGTGCCTTCTACATTCCCTGATGAGCACATCTAAGTCGACAGCATTCCTGGATCAGGTGAGAGGCCAGAAACGGCAAAGCCGAAGGAAAAGACGCAAGCAACAGCCAAGGCTAAGGCCAAGGCCAAGACCAGAGCCAAGGCAAAACCACAAAGCAAGTCTCAGCAGGGCTCAGGCGGGTCGAGACCGAGAGACGCCGCCAGAGAACTAAGAGATCTTGGAGAAAGACAGGTCCAAATCCAAAGGAAGTCGCTTGGACGGGCTCGCCGGGCCAGCAGAAGCCTCGTCTTGAGCGCGCTCAAGGACCGGTCCACGGCCTTGCATGGCCTTGCCTAGTGCCTCTTGTCTTTGCTCTACTTGTACCGTGCTGTGCAGTGCACATCAAGATGGATGCCAGCGCCGCGAACGAGCAGGGTTCGAGGCCAGCAAGGGCTATATAAGGCCTGAGATCATCTGAAGAGCTCTGAAAAGGCGGATGCTCGAGGCTGCGAAGGCAGGAGCGTATGGCGTGTAAAAGCAACAGATCGCTGCAGTGAGTCAAGCGAACAAGGAGCCCCTGGACTGGGTAAGGAGCCGTGAGGAGAGAAGCAGCGAAGTTGCAGCATCTTATGTTCCCTGGCTTTCGCTTTGGTCGGCAGGCCATGGTGCCCGACACCATCTTTGTGAATTTGAGGCCAGTGCAGCTGGGCAAAAGCGCTGATTCACTGTCTGGTTGCTTGAGCTGCCCGTTCGGCCTCCTCTTCATCATCATCATCATCACCACCAGCATCAGCACCGACCTCCTCCTCCTCCTTCTCCTCCTCCTGATCATCACCATCATCACCAACACCACCACCAACATCACCACCATCACCACCATCACCACCATCACCACCATCACCACCATCACCACCATCACCACCATCACCACCATCACCACCATCACCTCCACCACCACCACCACCGCCACCACCGCCACCACCGCCACCACCGCCATCACCATCACCATCACCATCACCATCACCATCATCATCATCATCATCATCACCATCATCATCATCAGCATCATCATCAGAATCATCAGCATCATCAGCATCATCAGCATCATCAGCATCATCATCACCATCATCACCATCATCATCATCATCATCATCATCATCAGCATCACCAGCATCATCCGCATCTTCAGCATCATCAGCACCATCATCATCATCATCATCATCATGATCATCATCATGAACATCATCGTCATCATCGTCATCATCATCATCATCATCAAGCATCTCGGCCCAGCTTTCGCCGCTTCATATTTGATACGGCGCTGATGCTATGCCTAGCTCCGATGCTGGCTCTTCTGCTGCCTCTGATTCTTTGTCCAGAGATCTTTTGGGAGAAACAGACTCGGACGAAGAGATGCCGAACTCCTCATCGGCTGCAGAAGACGAGATGCTGCCTTTTAATGCAGCACCCTAACTTCAGTTTCGGAGAATGGCCCTTGTGGAGCTCTGCTGGGACCACTACGAGAGGTCGCTTATCGCATCCTTTTCCGACAGACGGAAAATTGGAGCCAGACTTCGTTCTGCCAAGCAAGCCCAGCACGATCTATATGCAACAGAAGTGCTGGAGAGAATTGCTCGAGCCATGGACGAAGACCGCGCCTCCTCATTGCGCAAGCAGTTCATTTTCCTTCAGGAGAGGCTACAAGCTGAGCCACCACTCAACGACATCAGATGGATTGTTTCAACGGGGGACCAGTATGCCCCGAAGCGACAGCATCTCTTGCGATGCGAATGCAAGCTTGCTTACAAGACCCTCCTGGCGGAATTTGAAGATGCGCATCGAGCCTGCACCATGGCAAAAATTCTGTACGATCTCGGCCAAGGCCTCTGGTACCATCAAACGCTGCACTACTTTTACCCGCTCCTACCCCCAGACAGCATCGCCCCCCTGTAGCAATGGTACTACGACTACAGTCTACAGTGCCCAGCAACGCCTGCTCCACGGTACATCGCAACAGGATCAGTCTGGAATCCATAATGAAGCCTCCGGGCCGGCTTTGGTGGACCCTGGCCGCCACCAGCGCACGTGGCGCTTCCGCTTTATGCAGAAGAAGCGCTATCGGAGATCCTGCAGACGGAGGCCTCGAATGCGCTCACGAACTCGGCATCGAGCAGCACGGATCGGTGAGCTCCTTCGACTTTCCGAAGAAGTGATACTGAGCTCAATCGGAGCTTTTCTGAGCCAGCTTTCAAGCCGTATTTTTGAATCGGGCCGCTCCGGTCCCAAGTCCGGAGTCGGCGAAGATTTTGAGCCTCTCCCCTTTTTTATCTGAGGCCGGAGATGCATGGGTTGGGGACTTGAAACGTCGTACCTCCCCTGAAGCACATTGCTTGCACCTCAATATGCCATACTTCGCAAACCTTTTCGACCGTAGTCTATTTTGGGCCTCTTCCAAACGGAACAGCTCCCCGACAAGCTCTCGAGCACTGGAGTCCAAACACAAGCATTCGACCATAGGATCCTCAGTCTCCCTTAAAACCTGCCTGCTAACCCTGGTCATAGCCTGCCAGACCGATCTCCTGGAAGCAGCCCCGGCTCCACTCCCTAGCACGGCACCTCCGTGGCAACCAAGCCCTGCGCATCAGTGCATAGTGAAGCGCTCCTACATGAGAGCCCTGCGCAGACTGCAGACCAATGGCTTCGCAAGGTACGAGGGACGACTTCTGCAGGACCCCAAGATCACGCCATGCCCGAACCCAGTCTAATTCCTCTCGCCCCAACCCTAAACCCCAATCAGAGGCCATACAGGTGTTGTCCTGGAACTGTGGAGGTCTCTCCTCGCTAGGCTTCGAATCAATCAAGGATTGGCTAGGATCTTCAAGAGGCCTTGCCATAGTCTGCATTCAAGAGACGCATTGGCGCCACACCAATGAGTTCCGCTCAGGCGTGTGGAATTGCGTTTCCAGCAGAGGTGTACTAACCATGGTAAGATTACCCCCCAACATGCAGCACATTGCCATACAACACCACGAAATTGTACCAGGCAGAGTACTACATGTCAGAGTCTGTACAGAGCCCCCAGTAGATGTCCTCAACGTTTACCAGCATTCTTGGAACCCTGACAAACAGAGCTATCAAAGCAGCGCTGTTGAACCCGTCACTCTTCTTCTGCAAAACCGTTCCCGAATCTGGGATGTGCTCAGAAGCTGGGTAGGCTCGATACCCAAGCGTAATCGGCTAATAGCGGCAGGAAACCATAACACTGAGCTTCGAGCCCGACGCCCCCATGTAGGACCAGGACTGGTGCCCCATAAGTCTTCCTCCCACAAAGACCAGGCGCAATTTCAAGCCATTGTCGAGCACTTCCATCTTTTGGCAGCCCACACCTGGGGCAAGTCCGGCAAGCCTTCGGCCACGTACGTAAATCATCAGGACGCGCCAGTTCAGATAGACTATATAATGGTACGTCTGCCAGTGAACCTTTCGGAATTGATGCTTCGAATACTAAGAGAAGCTCCAATCGTCCCCCTAAGCGGCATGCGCCATTTCCCCTTAAGCCTCACAGTGCCGGCCGCCGGCGTCCCTCGTAAGGCACGGACAAACCCTACCCCCACTGCAGCTAATGCCATTCGCTTCCTGCAGAGTGCCGAAGACCGCACACGCTTTGAGAATGCTGCCTCGACTCTGCTGCAGGACCCTAAGATCCAGGCAGTTGACATAGATCACTGTTTGCTACAAGCGTATCGATCTTGTAAGCAGTCCAACCCAGCTGCCCGCCCAGCCACGCCGGCCTACAACCTTCAGACCTACTGGCAACTGAAGCGCAACTGTCGAGACAGCAATCTCCTTTTGCAGAGCCGTCTCGAGTGCAGCAGCTGGTCTACGCACCTTGTGACCGATGCAGCATCAGCCTCTGCAGAGAGGACCTTCGGCTCACTGATAAGAGCCTGGAGCTCTCTTGCCAAATACCTAAGGTATACGCGAGAACTCAATCGCACTATCCGTGCTCGCAACAGGTCACAGGTGGAAGAGCTGCTTCAGCAGGCCCAGGAGGCGGACGGCAAAGGCCTCTCACACCTCTATAAAATCATGAAACGGGTAGCTCCCAAACAGCCCAAGTGCACAATTCATCTTCGCACAAAACAGGACGGACTACTCAACCCTCAGCAATCCTTACATGCCATCACATCCTACTTCAGTAAAATCTTCAATACTCCTGCAGGCCGTCTCATGCGCTAAGCTCGCTGTCACAGCGAAAGGCCCTACCGCAGAGCCAAGCCCCAGCCTCCTTGTGGAAGTCTTGCCATGACTCCATCGTGGCCATTTAAAAAAGGAGCCTGTCTGCCCTGTTTGTTCCAGGCAAGCTCTGGATGCTGCCAAAGCCGGGCAAATCTCCACATGATCCCTCCAACCTTAGGCCCATAAGCCTACTTCCGGCAACATCAAAGATTTTGGCCCGCGTGGCAGCTCAGAGGCTGCGGCCATACCTCGAAGAGGCCATAAGGAGTCAACCACAGTTTGCTTACCTAAGATCCAGGGACACTCTAGATGCCATAAATCGGGTGGCCAGTCACTGCTATTCGACACAGCAGCACCTAGCTAGTTTAGAATACGGGTCCGGGCTCGGGTACAGCCCTTCACGGTGCTCTTCAGTTGTCCCTAGACCTCAGCAAAGCCGAGCCTTGGTGGGGATGGGGGGGGTGGGGGAGGGGGTGGGGGGGGGGATGATGACGTCCATGCGAATGCGGTTTGTTCTGTTGTGCCGCAGACAAGAATGCCGATGACGATACCTTACCTGATAACCTTGATGACCATGCAAATGACTATGTTGCTACCTGAGTGAAACGCCACCAGCTGCTGACTGTTGCCCTCGTTGATGGCTTGTTGTTGAAACGCAAACCATGCAAAAAACCAGCGTTTTTTGCTTTTCCAAACAAAAAATTTGCAAAATTAGCAAAAAAACAAAGCAGAAAAAACAACGAAAAATACGGTATTTGCGACATTTTCGCAAAAACCTCACTAAATATCCAAGACAAAGAACTTGGACAAATACAGGCTCCCGAACAACCTCCTGTTCAGGAAAACCACACAAATATCGACAAATTTGCGTTTTTACACAAAAACGTCCCCAAGACAAACGACAC